CAGCTGGGGGCGGGCGCTGGCGCACAGAGCAGGGTTGTTGCTGAGCGGCACGATGTCTGGCAGGGGCAAGGGCGGCAAGGGGCTCGGCAAGGGAGGCGCCAAGCGGCACCGCAAGGTGCTGCGCGACAACATCCAGGGCATCACCAAGCCGGCCATCCGCCGCCTGGCTCGGCGCGGCGGCGTCAAGCGCATCTCGGGGCTCATCTACGAGGAGACGCGCGGCGTGCTCAAGGTGTTCCTGGAGAACGTGATCCGCGACGCCGTCACCTACACGGAGCACGCCAAGAGGAAGACGGTCACCGCCATGGACGTGGTCTACGCCCTCAAGCGCCAGGGCCGCACTCTGTACGGCTTCGGCGGCTAAACTAAAACCCCTAAAGTTTATACTGTTTTAAGCACCAAGGCTCTTTTAAGAGCCACACACACATTTCACTATTAGAGCTTGTAATTACTAAACCTAGTAATGCAGAGAGCAAGTAACCTTGAGTTGCTCAGTGTTTTGTACCTCGAACGAGGTACTTCATTTTTGTTGTATTATATAATCCACATGATAAAAACTCATACCGTATTTGCAATCACAGCTCTTATTATGAAGGTGTGGTGGCTCTTAAAAGAGCCGTTTGGTTTATAATTTTAATATCCTTTTACTTGGAGCTGGTGTACTTGGTGACAGCCTTGGTGCCCTCGGACACGGCGTGCTTGGCCAGCTCGCCGGGCAGCAGCAGCCGCACGGCCGTCTGGATCTCCCGCGACGTGATGGTGGAGCGCTTGTTGTAGTGCGCCAGGCGCGACGCCTCGCCGGCGATGCGCTCGAAGATGTCGTTGACGAAGGAGTTCATGATGCCCATGGCCTTGGACGAGATGCCCGTGTCGGGGTGCACCTGCTTCAGCACCTTGTACACGTAGATGGAGTAGCTCTCTTTCCTTGCTCTCTTGCGCTTTTTGTCTCCTTTCTTCTGAGTCTTAGTGACAGCCTTCTTGGAGCCTTTCTTCGGTGCTGGAGCAGATTTCGCCGGCTCAGGCATCCTTAACGTTGCGTTTCCAAGATCTTCACCGCAGCACAACAACATCGAAAATGGCGCCTACCCCCTCTATTTATAATGGCGTTATGCAAATGAGAGGATTATAACCTTTCAATTCCTATTGGAGTAAAGAGTACAACGTCATTTCAGGCACTCCCGTCCTATCACCGCCAGAGCTAAAGCCCTGCATTTACACAGTCCCAGTTCCAGTCAGGGTTCTGGATCAAAGAACATAGAAACGCAGTGCGCGATGCAGCTGCACTGGGCGGACATTCACTGGTGCATTCAGTTATTCAGTCCTAACAGTATTTGTAATCTAAAGTAAAGTTATTACCCCCGCTTTAGCACTTTAAATGTCTTTCACGTGTTCGGAAAACCTTAACACACGCACAGATAGGCCAGTAATAAACAGCTCTTATTGTGAGATTTGTGGGTGGCTCTGAAAAGAGCCTTGGTGTTTTCAGACAGTATGAGCTTCAACAAATGGAGTTTAGCCGCCGAAGCCGTACAGAGTGCGGCCCTGGCGCTTGAGGGCGTAGACCACGTCCATGGCGGTGACCGTCTTCCTCTTGGCGTGCTCCGTGTAGGTGACGGCGTCGCGGATCACGTTCTCCAGGAACACCTTGAGCACGCCGCGCGTCTCCTCGTAGATGAGCCCCGAGATGCGCTTGACGCCGCCGCGCCGAGCCAGGCGGCGGATGGCCGGCTTGGTGATGCCCTGGATGTTGTCGCGCAGCACCTTGCGGTGCCGCTTGGCGCCTCCCTTGCCGAGCCCCTTGCCGCCCTTGCCCCTGCCAGACATGATCGCGCTACAACCAAGCTCCGCTCAGTGCCGCTTTTCTTCCCGCTCCGCTCTTTATTCCCCGCGAGCCGACCTGGTTGAGGACTGCGCCTGGGCGGGCTCTGCGCGCGCCCTTCCCCCGCGGGCCGCCGCTTTCCCGCCCTCTCTCCC